GGGGAGGGTAGGGGGGAAGGGAAGGTGCTGGGGGGTAGATCAAGGGGGAGAGTGTGCCCCTGTGCCCACTCCCAGGATCAGGGCCAGGGGGTGAGGGCAGGGGTGTCACTCTGTGGGCCACACAGGCGCCAGCCGGCCTGACAGGAAGTTCGCACACTGAGGCCAACACCACAACTCTGCCACTGCACCCTGCGCTACCATCCCATGGCCACCTGCACGGCTTTGTGGGCAAGGGGCACAGGGCGTGGCAGCGGTAGTGCGGTGGCAACCGCCCTGTGCGGGTCACATACGTGCTGCTCAGCCAGGGGGTGAAACGGGGGCCTTGCATGCAGCGGCACGCCCCACAACTGGCTGCACGGCTCCGCGGCAGTGCAGGGTGGTGGCCGCTGCAGGCAGGGTCAGGGGGCTTTGCGGGCAAGTACTCCCAGCGCAGAGACATGCCCTTTGCCCCTGGATCCTAGAGGTAAGTGGGGCTTGGGGACTGTGGGGCAGAGCTGGGGAAGATGGCTGGGGGCTGAGGGAGTGGCGGGTGCTGCCAGCCCCAGGCGGCACACCACAGCTGGGAGCAGGGCCAGGGGGTGAGGGCAGGGGTGCCCCTCTGCAGGGGGGCTTTGCAGGCAAGCGATGTGGGGCGCAGGGTGGTGGTGCCCACCATGTGCAGGCCGCACACATGCCACCTGGCCGGCTGCCTAGGGGAGGGGACAGGGAGGCTGGCATATGGCTGGAGCACAGCTCTGTGGCCGGCTCTGCAACCACGGCAAGGGATGGGGGCGCGGGGAGAGGCTTGGGCTCACACATGGCGCTGCCACTTACCTGGAGGCCCATGACAGTGGTGACGGCCTCTGCCTATAAAATCTCCTGCTGCCACTGCGGAGCCATGCCCGAGCTGTGCAGCTGGCTGCCAGGTGCCAGTGTGGTGGTGGCCAGGTGGCACGCAGGCATCCCCACCCCGCACTGCGCTGCTGCCACCGGCAACACAGCTCCAAGCACAGTTCCGCAGCAGCAGCAGAGCTGTGCTTGGAGCTGTGTGGCTGGCGGCAGCAGCACACTGCGGGGTGGTGGTGGGGATGGCTGCATGCTGCCTGGCCACCACCATGCCACCGCCCGGCAGCTGGCTGCATAGCTCCACGGCGGCAGCAGGAGGTTTTGTAGGCAGCAGCCATAACCGCCATCACAGCCCTCCAGGTAAGCGGCAGCACCACATGCAAGCCCAAACTCCCCCTGCACCCCATCCCTTGCCATGATTGCAGAGCCAGCCACAGAGCTGTGCGTCAGCCTCATGCCGGGCTCCCCCCCCCTCCCCTGAGCAAGCAGCCAGGCAACGTGTGCGGCCTGCACATGGTGGGCACCACCACCCTGTGACCCACACTGCTTGCCTGCAAAGCCCCCCACAGAGGGGCACCCCTGCCCTCAACCCCTGGCCCTGCTCCCAGCTGCGGTGTGCTGCCTGGGGCTGGCAACACCCCCCATGCCCAACCACCTTACCCAGCCCTGCCCCAAGCCCCACTTACCTCCATGCTCCAGGGGCAAAGGGTGAGTGTGAGCCTGAGCCTGGCCTTGGCTGCCTCAGAGGCTCAGACCCTGCCCTCCCCGTCTCCCTCCCCCTCCAGCCAGGGCTGGGGGTTTCCTGTCCTTCATGCGATGGGTTCTTGAAGGCTGGAGCTGTGCCAGCCTGCAAGAGTGCTTTGCAAAAGCGGAGAATCCCCGGATATCTCTGCTAGAAAGAGAAATCCGCGTTTTCTCCTTTTTTCCGTGGGAAACAGAAAACCCAGATCCCTGGTGATGATAATAACAGTAGAAGCCAACATGATGTCACTTAAAAAGAAGACTTATTTGCATACCTTTTTTCAGTGTACGATAGTTCTCAGAAAATACGATAATTTGAGCTTCTACTATGATAACTTCATTTTTAAGACCTGGCAACTGTGCCTGGGATGTTGGAGGACTGAGTTAACTTAAATCTGGTTGGAATCTGGGACAGAAGGTCAATACACCAATTTAACCTAAATCAGTTAAGTCTGATACTACATCCATCCAGGTTTTTCTTAAACCCGTTTCAGCCATTCTGAAAGCAGCTTATGTGCATTGAACTTCTGTTGTGTTACAGCTTTGAACTGGTTTCTGATCATTTATACTGGTTTATGTGTAATTTCTGTCCCTAACTAGAAGACCCCATGCATAGCGCAGCCCCAGGAGTGCTATCCAGACTGGATCCAGCCTATACTGGCCAAATCAGAATAACAATTTTAAAATGATCGTTTGTCCTTGACTAGAGAATGACCTACTCTCCATCTATTTATTGGGGTTCTGCTGCAGTAGACTGTTATAGTAGGTACTGATCTAGATTATGAAGTATCAGCTCTTGGGCTTTTTCCATGTGTGTGAATAGTTCTGGAAAGCCATTGATAAAATCTAGTTGTTGATTCGCTGTTGTGTGAGTTGCATGCAGTTGTCTTTAATCAAGGTGTCAGCCAACGTTTAATTCAAGTGAAATGCTAAGTCATGCAAGCCCTTCCTGTAATGACAAAATTCCCACCAGTGTGAGCAGGAATTTGGCTTAGTGTGGACTAACATGTAGGATCGTATCAGTATTAGAGCTGGATCATTTCTAAGACAAAATTTAAAATCAGAGGACAGTGACAGTCACTTTGGGTGCTGACAGAAGTGGAGGGGAAAAAAGTGCTCTACCGGAAGCAGTAGCCACATTACTTTGACCCTGGCTCTGCAGTAGCTGTATAAATTGAGCACTTCAGTGGGTTTTTTTGGCATTTTTAGCTAAAGCTGAGTCAATCAGCTATTAAATAAAAGCACTAAAAACGCCCCACTAAAGTGCCCAATTTCTACAGATGTTGGGAAAGCCAGGTGCAACTGTCACACTGCCTTTTCTGGGCATCTGCTGGGCTCGGTGCAGAAGCGTGCTGAGTTTAAAGTAGAGCACTGAGGTTTTTTTCCCCATGTTTGCAAACAACCTTTATGTCAGGTTTCAACATCAGTTGGTAACTTAGCCACACTCAGTGTGTCCAGATTTATAATTGTAGAGGGACTTTTTTTTTTCTTGGATCAAGCTCATTCTTAGTGTAAGCCAGTGGAGTTACAGCACAAAGGAAGTTAGCCTGTGCATTTGTTTGACTTTCTCCCAACTATAAAGCAAAATTTGGTGGCCCTGTTCGATTATTTATTTATTTGAATTTAGAGTCTGGCTAATTCCCCAAAGTATGTTCAATTCATGCTCTCCCTGACTCAAAAGTGAAAACCCGTCTCCTGAGTTTACACAGTTCAGCTGATGCAGATACATTCAGTGGAGCTGGTGCACAGTAGTGGTTACGCAATAGTGGATGTGAGCACCTAAATCTGTTTGATTTTATCTGAGAGAAGAGGAAGTGAAAGCTGGATTCTGAGACAGTAACACTGATGTCATGTGATCTTCTAGCCACAAAACCCCTTGATCTCTCCTCTCTTCACAATGTGACAGGAACTGTTTAAGATGTTGTCATCCCTTAAGGAAATTATGAGCCAAATTTATCATCCCTGGTGTAAACCCACTGCCTTATTAGAGTGGACTTGCACCAGGGATGAATGTAGCCTAACAACTTCTAGTAACCATGAATTGCTGTGAAATGGAGTGTATGATTATATATCACATCTACCACTAGGAGAGAAATTGTGGGTCACTACTCATCTAAATGATATAATTTAGCTCTAAAATAAGCCAGATACACAAAGTTTTTATATCTTGTAAATGAATGCTAGTTCAAGAGTGGTATTCAAATATAGAAGGGATGTAGTAGGGGAAACAATCACATTCACCCTAGATAGAAATGCTGGTTTATGTTTTTTAAACAAAAATAACATTTCTGTTATGGAAATAAGTTATGAGAATTTGATCTGGTACACAGTCAAGTAATTTGTCACAACTTGTTAAGAGCTTCTTGCCAGAGGTAAACTAGTTGTCAAACAGAAGTTGGGTTGTTCTTGTACCAAAAATATGCATGTCCAAAAATTTCAAAGGTGCTGGTTCTAAATTATCCCATACAGAAGGTTCTCTTCTCTGAGCAGATCCCAAGTCAGCATTAAGTCAAGTGTTTTATGCAGGACCAGCAAGTGCCCTGGTTGACAGGAACATGAAAGAAGAAATCTGTTCTTTCAGTTTCCTCTTACTCAGCTACTACTTTCTTGCTTAAACCCTGAGCATGTTGCTGACAGATTGGATGTTTAAAGCCAGTAGATGATCCTTGACTTGACAGCATGTAGGTAAATAGATTTATGGCTGTTATACTACAGGTATACTCTGGGAAGGAGGTAGATATAGGGGGTGGTTCAAGCCCTTCTACCTAAGAAATTTAATTCTACCCAAGTAATTTCGCTGCCTATATTTGAAAGGTCTCATTCCCATCACTGCCCTTGTCTCTTCTTGGAACATGGCTTATGCTCTGTACAACAAAGGTGATTTTTGCAATACAGGTGGCAAGTTTTTTGGGATTTATGTGTGTGTGTATTATTACTAAAATACCATGGAATCTTGCAGATGGCAAGATTATTTGTATTATTTCATACGGGGCTTCAGAGTCAATGGAACTAAACCCTCAGAGGAATTTGTGTTAGGTCTTTAAAAAAAAGAAAAAAGGGTTCTTAGGTTGCAAGTGCTATAAGATGTTTTTGTGGTAAAGGCTACTGGGTGTTTTTGTTTTAATTGTCAACAAAAAAAAGTTGACATTTTCATCATGCAGTAACTCATTAACTACTCAAGGTTTCTTTGCAGTTTTGGATACAGTGGGCCATATCGTTCCTCTGATCTGCACATTGATAACAGGAGTTTGCAAAACAGATTGAAGGCACGATATAGTCCAGTGTCTAGTTTTGACCACACTTTGGTAAAACACTAATCACAGCATCCAACAGATGCATACCTGGAAGCTGGAAATGTGCCACAGCTGGCCCACATCCAAGCACTGATTCTAAGAATTGTCCAAGTTTAGTCTGCAATCCATCGTTTATACTACTGATTTTTTTAGACCCACCTTAGTACTTTTCACGGTTCTCTTGCTGTGAACATCACCTGAGCAATTTTTCAGCCAAAACAACAGCAAAAATAAATCATGCTCTTCCTGATGACAGATGCCTGTGGTTAACCTCTGTGGGTCAGATGCTACAATTTAAAAAAAAAAACAATAGTATAAATTAAACAGTGGGTTTGACTGACTACCACGACAGGGATGTTAGTGGTACAGTGGTGTAACATCTTCCGACTTGCATTCAGTGGGCATGCAAAACGGTCATAACATGCATACTAAGGAGACAAGTAGCAAGGCAAGTAGCACAGATGGTGTATGAAAAAATAGGCTCCCCTTACATGTTTGTGGTATCATGCATACATTGGATTTTGCCTTGGTTTTTTTCATACCTGTTCTGGAGTGGGGGAGAAGGGAGCTCTTTCTGGCTACTTTCTCCTTTGTAATTCTTGGCAGAAACTGGGTTTAATCTGCCTCTTAGCATTGTTAGAAAATACTGAGTAAAGATCAGGAGTGAGAGCTGGTGACTGCTGAGCCCTTATGACAAGTCTGGCCAGTGAATTTTTTTTTACAGGACCATCACATTGTTACCCCCTTTGTCTGCTTCACTGCATATGTTAACACTACAGCCCACATCTGCTAGGAAGCTGAGTGCTTAGAAAGGAAATAAATAGAACTGTGCTAATTCCAACTTTCTGAGAAACTGAAGGGAGAGAAAATTCAACAGTTATTAAACAGGAAAAAAGGACTGGTGAGAAATGCTTGCAAGCCTCTAAAATTTTCAGGCTTGGGAAGGTGTTAAAACTGTAGCATATGAAAAAAAAAGTTAACAGGACTTGACTACTGCACAAACTAAAGGCTCCTATACGTACTATCTCTGTTCCTAAAGCCCCCTGAGGAGGTAAAAATCTAAATAGTTATTTTTCCAAGGTTATGTTTGTAGTGATTACCTGAAAACCTGCCCTGAGCATGTCCGTCAGTCAGAGGCTCCCGCTAGCTCTTGTGCAAGTGCCTCTTGTCACTCCCACCACAAGGAGAAGTGAGGCTATGGGGCCACAGCACAGTTGTGAGGTCATGAGGGGGCCTTGGTGGGGATGTGGCTGTGGGTCTGCATGACCTCGGTTCAGTCTTGCTGGTTGGTCTATTCATGTTTTGTGATGCACACTATAGCATAAGGCTCTAAGTCATCAAATTACAGAAAACTGGCCTGGTGGGAACCTTGAAAGGTCATTTAGTCCAGCTGCCTATCCCAAAGGAGGATCCAATGAGAGAGATTACATACCAGAATATCTAGGTAATTTAGTCCAGGGCAAGATTGTGATTCTACAAGCAGGTGCACAGCTCAACCCTTTGCACAGAAGTAGTTTCGTTGACGGAAATGTATGTATATGGAGGTGTTTGCAGAACTGGGGTCTGTTATGCATTTACTTGTGGATATTTGTTTTCTTGAATCAGAACAACCATTCATTCAGCAAGATGTTAACAGAAACAACTTTTGGCTGTACGCAGATCAGTTAGTTTTCTCTCTAGGGCAAAAATATGACGACCAGTTAAACATTTTACACCTCTTCTTCAAAAATAATACTAATAGTTAAGAATTACTAGTACTAATTAGGAACTACACAAAAGCAGCATTATGCTCATATTTCTGAGACTTTCTGTCAGAATTTGCAAAAAACCCAAAATAGTCTTTAGTTCACATGAATTGTTTGCATAAAAAGCCTCAAAGAACCAGGAAACAGAAGGCTTTTTTGTTAACTGCTCTAGTTCTTGTAGACAATATTCTGACTTCAGATTAGTGGATGAAAATCAGACCTCAGTAAGAGGTTCACTTGCATCTTCGGAGGACACCATGTGGCAATACAGGAAAATTTGTTGAAAAGGGCTAGTTGTCAGTGGACCTATTCATCTGGCAGGCTGGGGCACTTCAAAATGTGGGTGGATCAAAAGGCAGCTTTGAGGTGGAATATCTCCAAAATACTGATTATTCCTGCAGTTTGCGAACAAACTCACCACTAGGGCTTCATTTTTTATTTCAGATGTTGCAGAACAGCAGTGTGTCCTATTCAGTGAGAGCCGTGGCTGCCTACTCCTTCAGAAGTGACTTCTAAATCCACAGAGAGGCAGTGACTAGAACTTGGCATTTTCTAGCCCCATGCTTAGTTCACACTCTCTCTGTTAATCACTGAAGTATTACTCTTCAGTCAGATGATGACTGTATACTGTGTAATATTTATCAGAAACAGTGTTATGAAAATCACTTTATAGATTTTCAATGTGCAGGGGCTTTTCAACAATACTTAGCAATTTTGAAGCTTGTTTTATCTATGGATCTCAAGGCACTTTACCAAGGTGGAGATGTGTTATACCAGGGGTTGTCAGCCAGGGGTACATGTACCCCCAGGGGTACTTGAGAAGGCCCGAGGGAGGTATGCACGGGCAGGGGGAGATGGAGCACTACCATGCACCATCCTACGCTGCCACGTAGGCACCACCCACCCGGCCAGACACAAGGAAGAGCTTGCACGCAGCAGCAGCTGCTGCTGGTCTGCATTTGGCTGCACGCAGTCCACATCCAGCTGCTGGGGGTACACTGATCCAAATAGGTTGAAAACCTCTGTTACAGAGAAAGAGGAACTGTAACTAGAGTTTAAATGACTTACCCAGGGTGACATTGCAAATTAATGCTGAAACAGAACCCAGGTGTCCTGGATCCAAGGTGACAATTCAACAAAGCCTTAAGGCAACATTTAAGTTTTGTTTTAAGCACATGTTTAACTCATATTTGATAAATTGGAACTGTAGAGCGAGACGGTGTTTTCCTTTCTTATGCAGAGGGTGAACATTCTCATGGCTTGGCAGGTAAATGTTATTTGCAGCTTTGTTAGTTCCTCTCCTATTACTCAGCAGATATTTTAAGACAGTAACAATATTTTTAAACTGATTAAAGACTGTGCAAAGCATACATCTGCTTGGTGACCTTTTATCAATCAAAATATTTATGCATATGTTTGGTTTTTTTCTTGAGATGACACCAGTTACAAGACAAGAAGTTCTTGGCCTTTACCGCAAGATATTCCGAATAGCCAAGAAATGGCAATCTGTATCAGGACAGATGGAGGATACTATTAAAGAGAAACAGTACATCATAAATGAAGCCAAAACATTATTTCAAAAAAACAAAAATGTAAGTAAGTCTCCTGGCTTTTAGAGTGGCTGTAAGATTCTCTGCTCTCTGGATTTGTTCAGCCTTAACATGAAAAGATTTGAGTCCTCAAGCTTGTCTCTTGACTGGAAACCGATGCAAATTATCTTCAACTCCTTTTTTTGACTTCTCCAAACAGAAAATATAAATTATCCCTAAGAAGAAATCTAGAATCCTCTTAGCTCTTTGTTTGTTGCTTTATGATGTTAAAAGGTCTAGAACATTTATAAGAAAATGCCAAATAAGAAGAGTAGGAAAAGTGCACTTCATGTGTGCTGGCTGTTACAGTTGTCGTCTGAAGTGGTCTTTGATCTTTTCAGAAAGCTTAGCAAAAAGCATAATTACCACTGCAATGGCAAGCAAAATTCAGTAGTTCCTTTATCTGATTTTTCTCTTACAACAGTAATTATTGGCACCTCTTTTAAAAGAGCACAGTTATTGCAAAGATGATATGCAGATGATTTTGAAAAAAAAATTAGGATTTAAAACTTCTTGCAAAGAGAGTAAACAAACAGGCAGACTTCATTGGTTATTATCATAGATCCTTGTTTTTCTTCCTTGTATTTAGGTCCCATATTGATATGTTAATCAATTACAATTGTATTAACTTTTTATATTATTTATTTTAGTTTCCTATTATTGAATGTATACATCCCTACTGGCTTAAGAGGGAGTTTTAGGAATGGAGTGATAGAAGG